CGAGTCCCACGGTATCGAAGCCAAGCCACCGTCCTGCCAGGCACAGGAAGGGGGTCCGTCTTCATTCCAGCCCTGCTGTTTTTTGCAGATCGTCCTGTGGGGAAGGTGACACGGAAGGAGGGCTACGACAACAGGGAGACCCTCGTCTGCCAGGCTTACGGCTTCTACCCCAAGGAGATTGACGTCACTTGGAGGAAGGAGGGAGAGGTCTTGCAGGAAGGCACTTTCCACAGGAGCGTGGCCCCCTACCTGGACGGGACCTACCACGCCTGGCTCAGCATCGAGATCGACCCCAAGGAGAGAGACCAGTACCGGTGCCACGTGGACCATGCCAGCCTGGGGGAGCCTCTGGTCTTGGCTTGGGAGGCGCCTGGTGAGTGGCAGGAGGGGTGGAGGAGAGGCTGCCTTCTCAGTGGGGACAGCAAGAGGGATTTTGGAGGGGGGGCTATTCACCGAGGGAGGAGGGAGACTCAAGAGGCTCTCAGCAGCATCTCCAGCTGGATCAGCACATACACCTCAATAGGACCCTCACTGTCAAAAACATGTGATTTGAATTCGGTTGAATTTTTTTTTTTTGCCATTGTAACCCTTTTGACAATTCCTTCCCTCCAAACACAACTTATTGTGCTGTGATCACAGCCTGCTTCCCGTCTTTTCACCTGTAAGCATGTCTTTGCAAGTTACAAAATTAAAAAGACTGTGGTATTTTAATTCTTACTTTAGCATAAATGTCATGGATTCCAATCGAATTTTTGAATATAATACAATAAAGTAAAGGCACTCAGGAGAAATGTAAGGGCATTTAAATGAAAAATGTAGATAAAAATATAGTGAATTAAACAATTATAGAAATTAACAGCAATAAATAAAAAACATCGAAAACCACTGAAAACATGTGAGAAAATATAGACAACTCCAACATCTCCCCCATTAACTTCACACTTCATTTCTACAAGGATGCTGCAAATCTGACAGGCAGTTATTGGGGGGGGAGCTTGAGGAGCCATCTATGCAATCTAGAGTTGCAATCAAAATTACAGTGGTGCCTCACTTAACGAGGATAATCCATTCCAGCGAAATCGCTGTAAAGCGAAATCCTCGTTAAGCGAAATAAAAAAGCCCATTGAAACGCATTGAAAACCCTTCAATTTATTTATTTTATTTATTTATTTAACTTATATGCCGCCCGCACAACCCGGAGGTCTCTGGACGGCTTACAACATTTAAAATACAATAAAAAGGCAAAATAAAAGGGCAAAATAATTAAAATGCTATTAAAAATATATATTCTAAAAATAGCCATGAGACCCACAGCTGATATTATTTCAATTAAAAGCCTTTTGGAACAGGAAGGTTTTGACTTGGCACCGAAATATCATCAGCGTCGGCGCCAGACGAATCTCAGTCGGGAGGGCATTCCATAGTATGGGGGCAGCTGCCGAAAAGGCCATTTCTCTAAAAGCCCTCCCTCTTATCTCCTTAAGGGATGGCTCTTTCAAAAGCACCCCCCTGGCTAGATCTTAATTGCCGGATAGGTTCATATGGAAGGAGGCGGTCCTTCAGGTATCCAGGGCCCAAGCCGTTTAGAGCTTTATATGTCAAAACAAGCAGTTTGAATTGGGCTCGGGCAGCAACTGGTAGCCAATGTAACTTAAACAGAATCAATGTAACTTAAACAGTGTGTTCCAATGGGCTGAAAACTCACCATCCAGCGAAGATCCTCCATAGGGGCAGCCGTTTTTGGTGCCTGTAAAGCGAGGAATCCGTCCTAGAAAACAGCGGGGGGCCATTTTGTACACCTGGTGGCCATTTTGAAACCTGACGATCAGCTGTTTTTAGATCCTCGTAATGCGAAAATCGATTCCCGAGGCAGGAAATCAATCATCGTGAAGCGGATTTTTCCCATTTAAACCATCATTTTGCAATTGCAAAACCTAAACGTCAAGCGATTTCCTTGTTAAGCGAGGCAATTGTTAAGTGAGGCACCACTGTATTAAACTCCCTATTTATTGACAAAGTTTACAAACTTTCAGCTGTTTGCAATGAATGAATCAAACAAAAGCCATTCATATAGCTCACCACGAGACTTTGAAGTGGTTCCCCCAAATTCCACTGAAAATGCAACTGGTAATGAATTCTTCACTCTCAAAATTATTTAATCCCTTCATGGCAAACATTTTTAGTCATTAGGAGAACACCCTTTTGCTGTTCGGACCTGCTACAGACGAGATGCCTAGCCAGACACCAGCTTCTGGCCGCGTTCCGGAGGAATCTTAGCCCCTTCTTCATGCCCAATGGGCCTCCCCATTGAGGAACGTTCTTGGGTTTGGGGGCTGCAACCGCCTGCTTCAAATCTCCATCACTCTCACTCACTTGTTAGCCCTGTTAAAAATCCTTTTAGACTGTTTTCATCTCCTCCTGAACAGGGCAGGGGGGTTGTGGGTTCGTGTTCAGTTATTTCGTTCTTTCTCCCTGTTCAGTTTCTGCTTCCAACTTGGGCCTCATTATTGGGTGTATCATTGTGGCTCTTTTCCTGATCATGGCTGGGATTGCTGGCGCCTGGGTCTACAACAGTAAGTCAAGGAGCGAATGCCTTGGTTGGGAGGTTGCTGTGTGGTTGGAGGGAGGCGTTTTCCTGTGGAGTCTCCCTTCAGGGGGAAGATTGAGAGGAGGCCCATGGCCTGGGCTTCCCTGCTCTCTTCCTACACCTTCCGTCAGGGCTCTTTATGAGCATCTCAGGTCTGCTCCTCTTTCCGCTCCTCTTTCCCAGGGATCCCCACGTGTCTCAAGCCAAAGTCAGGCTTTGGGGGTTCGTTGGAAATCTTCTCAAAGGATGAGGGACACCCCCAGATCTCCCCTTCTCAAAGTTGCATGGGAAGCGCCGCCTCCTTTCTGTGCTGACCTAAGTTGCACCTCAGGGTTCTTCTGGGGCAGAGGGAGACGAAAGGGGCCCTGTAGGTGTTCTTGAACTGCAACTCCCATCAGCCCTGGTTACTGTGAGCAGTTGCAAAGGATCTAGAACCATGGTTCTAGAAGGAGGGGCCAGAGGCAGGAGGGTTCCCATGGGAGCCCATGAAATCGTTTGTTGCTACCAGGAGACCGACCTTCCCTGCCTCCAGAGGTGGGTTTGGATGATCTCTGGGAACAGCCTTCAGCGCTAACTCTCCGATTCTGTCTCTGCAGAGAAACGACAAGAAGGCTACAAGGCAGCATCAAGTGAGTAGAACTTTCCTCTTTCTGTGTTTAAATTCCAAGCCTCAGGCTGCCTCTGAAGCTCTTGGACTACATC